ACTAAATGCCTGAAGGTCTCATGAAACATGAAAACATTACACAAAACCTTTATAATAAATTGTACGTAAACTGGTCTTCATACCATCTGCACTTTCTTTTCATTTTATTTCATGTTTTCACACCTGTCTTCGTTAAACTTTGACAGGTTGAGGGGAGAGTAAAACTTTTTTTCAGTCTCTGAACTATTTGTAATAAAAAATATTCAGAGCTACTTGTGTCAAAATGGTCAAATTCCAGTTAGAAATTGTATTGGGTTTACATGGCAAAGTTTTGGTAGCTGGAGGCAAGGAACCTGCAGAGGTGGCATCTGTAAGAAGAGGGTTCTGGGCTCCAGAGCAGAGACTCCCCTGCAGCCCATGGAAATTTTGGAAGAATCCATGATGGAGCAGGTATTTCCCTGCAGTCTGTGGAGACATCACCCTGAACCAGGTATTCACTGCAGCCCATGGAGAACCCAACCCTGGAGCAGGTGGATATTCCCTGAAGGAGCTGCCGGTCCATGGAGAGCCCACGCTGGAGCAGGTTGATCTTGAAGGTCTGCAGCTTGTGGACACCCCACCCTGGAGTAGGTTCTCCTGACAGGAACTGCAGCCCGTGGAGGACCCATGCTAGAGCAGATTGATCCTGAAGGCCTGTAGCCCATGGAGAGGACCCATGCTGGAGCAGGAGAAAAGTATGAGGAAAAAGGAGTGACAGAGCAGAATGGTTATGAACTTTTCAGAAGACCCAAAGGGGTTGTTATATAAATGAAGGGATACTGTTCAGAATGTAGAGTGATGTAGAGTTGCTTTGAGTTAGGTGCCTTTAACTTAGGCTTTATTCAGTGTAAGTGTCTGTCCAGTAGAAATCTTCAGCTGAGTTGGTCACCTTAAGGTTATTACCTTTGTCCAGTGCATCCTGGTTTTCCAATGGAGCAGCAAGGAGCCTGCCCAATGGGATTCAGATGTCCAATGGATGTATTCCCTTCCTGAACCCAAGTAACTATGATAGGACGAGAGGAAATGGCCTCAAGTTGCGCCAAGAGAGGTTTAGATTGGACATCAGGAAAAATGTCTTTACTGAAAGAGTGGTCAGGCCTTGGAACAGGCTGCCCAGGGAAGTGGTGGAGTCCCCATCCCTGGAAGTATTTAAAAGACATGTAGATGAGGCGCTTAGGGACATGGTTTAGAGGACATGGTGGTGTGGGGTTGATGGTTGGACTTGATGATCCTAGAGGTCTTTTCCAACCTTAATGATTCTACGATTCTATGATTCTATGAACAGAGTGCAAAAGATTGGTCCAAGAATGGAAGTGTGATGAACAGATTTAAACAGTGAAATGAGCTTAGGGAATACAGAGTGGTTTTAATCCATGGCATACCATGTCATTATCAGTGTGATGGCAGGATGTAGGCAAACTTTTGCATGATTGGGAAGACCAGACAGCTGATTATGAGAAAAGGGCAGCCTGTAATGTGTAGCAAAACTCTTATACCCCACAAACTCTTTGATCTGGGTGGATGGCATGGAGCAGACTCATGGAAAACAGTAACAGATGCATCCCTCCACGCATGGGTCTTTATACAATTGCTAGTCAAAGGAGTCTCAAAAATCCATGGAAGAACCCGACTCCTGGTCTTTTTCATCCTTTCAGCGTCCTTCACCAGATGGTCAAGTCTGATACCACCATGAGAAAAACAGACTCAGCTTGGGGAAAATTAATTTAATTTACTGCTAGTTAGAATCGGTTTGGATAGTGAGAAACAGAGACAAAATCTAAACCACCTTCCCCCCATGCTCCTTTTTCCAAGGCTCAACTTCACTCCTTTACTCCTGACTCCTCTACCTCCCCCCACCCCTGAGTGGCGTAGAAGGATGGAGAACGGGGTGTCATGGTCAATCCATAACGGTTCCTCTCTGCCAGACCTTTCTCCTCACACTTTTCCCCTGCTCTAGCATGGGCTCTCTGTGGGCTGCAGTCCTTCAGGATAAACCTGCTCCCACATGGGCTCTCCACGGGCTGTAGTTTCCTTCAGGGAATACCCACTTGCTGCAGTATAGGGATCTCCAGGGCCTGCAGTGTGGGTACCTGCTCCACTGTGGTCCTCTGCTCAGGCTGCAGGTGAATTTCTGCTCTGGCACCTGGAGCACCTCCTCCCCCTCCTTCGCTGACCTTGGTGTCAGGAGGGTTGTTTCTCTCACATTTTTCCCTTACCTTTGTGCTGCATTTTGCCCCATCATAAACATGTCTTCTAAGAGGTGCCCCCAGCTTCACTAATTGGCTCAGCTTTGCTTTGGGGTGGGTCCATTCTGCAGCTGGCTTGAATCAACTGTGTCCGACTGTGATGGATGCACTCGACACCTTAACCAAACTGGCGGTGGTTTGGTGCAGGCTCTGGAAGAGGTAAAAGCCTGAGCTGTAGCTGGGCCATGAACTCCTCTAGTTTCAATCTGTCCTCTGAAAACGCACAAAGAAATAGAGTGCATATGAGCTTGGAATACTGATCATGAGATTAACAGATGAATAGCAGGTGGCTTTTCCAAAACTCATTTATCAAGGTACAAGGAGTCTCATGTGTTCCTTTCCCATCGCATGTAATTTGACTACAAGCCAACCACTTTATTCCATAAATATGACAGCCTAGGCGAGCCTTCTTTGAGCTCTCCCTGCTAGGCAGCATGGCTGCATGGCGGTCATCTCCCCTTGAGCTGGGACACCTCTCAAGGTTGCTCCTCAAGGCAGAGAGACCTTTCACCAATGGCAGATCTTTGGTAAGTGACCGATATCATGCATAACCTTGTAGAATGGTAACTTTGATTTTGCCTTGGTAACTTTGATTGCATGCTAGTGAAACATTACATAGATTTTACATGTATAATCCCTTAGACATAAACCATTGACCAAGTCCGAGACTAGGTTTGGACCTAGCTGCACCTAGACTCCTCTCTGAGAAGGAGTTTAGAAAGCAAGGGGGTCCACTCTGAACCTTGTGACTCAATGGAAGGGTCCTCCTTACCCTTTTGTATCCCCGGTCTCTCTGTGAATCATTCCAACTCGAGTGTAACTCGATTTTCCTTTGTACATTTCTTCCATGCAGTAATTAATAGAGTGTCCGAGTTGCCATCGAACTTTGTTAAGTCGCACTTTTACAACATCATATTAAAACCGCTTTTGCTAATACCTTTGATGGTGATTCTTTAAGCAATCTAAATCACTCGTCTGCAACACCGACATGGGGGCAGTCCCTCACTTTTTTCTACAGAGGCCACCCCTGCAGCCCCCCTGCTACCAAAACCTGGCCAAGACACCCAATACCTCCAGAAAATTAGTCCCCTGTATTTACCTATAAATACCTATAAATAAAAAAGACGACTTCTATCAGACTTCTTGATTTTATTTTTCACCAACAGATGAAAAGCATTGCTTATCATTATCCCATTAGTGCAGAATTGCTCCTCCTACTTCAGTGGTAACTTGAGTCATCTTGTTCCTTCCTGTATTTTTTAAAATCTCTAGCCAAGACACTCCTTCCAACAGGTAAGAGCACATGACTTTTTTGATGCTAGAAAGGACGCACAATGAAAATAGCAAAAGAATAAGAATATATTCTAGATGTCTTTTGGGGCAGGTATATTCTATTTACTACTTCACAAGTGATATCTGAGGATTAATGAATGAGAAGGAATACAGTGGAGGATATCTTAGCATTATTCAGGAAGGAATATTTTAATAACTAAACCTCTCAGTATATTAGTTAATCAGTACTGTTCTGAGATTTGTAATGTAGTTTTAATTACTTTATCTCATTGAACTAATACTTTGTTGATATATAATGTACTTCTGATGTGGTTCATTGAAAATGTAACATTCTCTGCTTTGGAATGGTAAATATCTATTAAAATGATCTTTGTAATATAGGTATAAATATTTAGCATAGCAGGGAATTAAGGATTGTGAAAGAAGACCGCAAACATATATGAAACAGTGGCAGCCAGATATACGTTTTGCTGTTTTCATTCATTCAAAATGTTGAATGGTTGAGACATAAATGTTAATACTCTGTCCTTCAAACAGACTATTATGAAAAGATGTTGTAAATGCCAATCGGTACTCAGAATGTGGGTAATTGTGCATTTTTATATGTAGCCGAGCTTTTGTGCCAAGCAACTCAGCGTGACTCTGGGGTTCAGTAAAGCAAAGCCAGGAGGCTTCCCTGGGGATGCCTTATTGTCCTCTAACCTGCCTTTCAGGTGATTAGTGTGGTGTGGTGTTTTCCTGCACTGTGCTTGCATTGCCTCCCTTTTACACTCTGCATTTAGAGTAAATGCTAGACCCTTGCAAGTCATGGTGTACTTCCCAAGTGCTTCCTTACAGCACTAACAGTTCCTCCAGTTTTATTGCCCTACCGAACAGCTCTTTTTCTGCCCTTCAGCAGTTTACCAACATTTTCTGCTAAGAGAGGACAGAGTACAAGTTTGCTGGAAGTTAAGACAGATTGCAGGTGCAAGATAAGGCAGCCATAGAGATAGGGAATAGGGTGTGCTGGTTGATTGGCCCCTCACTATAAGAAGGATATTGAGGTGTTGGAGCGTGTCCAGAGAAGGGCAACGAAGCTGGTGAAGGGCCTGGAGCACCAGTCTTATGAGGAGCGGCTGAGGGAACAGGGACTGTTTAGTCTGGAGAAGAGGAGGCTGAGGGGAGACCTCATCGCACTCTACAACTACCTGAAAGGAGGTTGTAGCGAGGTGGGGGTTGGTCTCTTCTCCCAAGTAACAAGGGATAGGACGAGAGGAAATGGCCTCAAGTTGCACCAGGGGAGGTTTAGACTGGACATTAGGAAATATTTCTTTACTGAAAGAGTGGTCAGGCCTTGGAACAGGCTGCCCAGGGAAGTGGTGGAGGCCCCATCCCTGGAAGTATTTAAAAGACGTGTAGATAAGGCGCTTAGGGACATGGTTTAGTGTTGAGTTGATGGTTGGACTTGATGAGTGTGTGAGGATTGTGAAAGACAGAAGAGAGTGGCTGGTGGGAGTAAAGTCACAATTGACCGGGCACAGATGAGATACAGCATTGCACTTCTGGGGAATATATTGCTTTTCTCAAGCCTTCTGAGATGGGACTCTGGAAAAGTTTCCAAGTAGACTATGGGAGAACCAGACCAGGCAGTCACTCCCATTCTCTCTCATTTATGCATGGAGGACCACAGCCGCTCGTCTGTAATGAAGCAAAAGCAGGATTTTCTGTGATTCTCTGTCACATCCTCGTCCAGGACAGTGTTCTTACCCAGAGCCTCCTGTACCAAGCGACACACTGCTGCAGAATCAAAGTAGGCAGGGAAGTATGAAGCACAGTCCAGTTTCCTAGACACGTCCAACAAGAGCATGTGATGCAGCCCATTCATTGCATGAGAGCCTAGTAATATGCGTACAGGGCTGGCAGTGGGCATCCTGGACTTCTGGCCTGCCATCCAAATCAGTTTGAAGTCAGATGTTCCTGTGCCCAAGAATAGGGACAGTCAGGGAAGAGGAATGGGCAGATTTGCCTCAGAGAAAGGAGCCAGGAGCTGTGGGTGACCCCACCAACATGACACAGTGCCACAGGATCTGAACACAGCAGGCAGAGCCAGGTGCTGCCTTTGTGTTCCTGTCTTTAGCAAGATTCATTCCCTCCTGTTTCATTCCTCTCAGAAATTCTTTCTCATTTTCACAGGACATCATCCATTTCCCAGGGGAATAGAAGGAATTTGACTTGACCCACATGACATTTTTGGAGGATTTATGGAATAAGTGCTCAGAAAGGAAACTCGTATTAGTTCTGTTCTTTGCTCTTCCAACATGTGTTTTAATTGGAAAGTGGCTTACAGGTAAGAAACTCCGTACTGTATCCAGCTAGCCAGTTATCCTAAGATACCATGCCTACACTTCTGTTCACAGTCCCTAAAGGAATAAAGGCACTGTAGATCCTATGTGGTGTCTGACACCTCCGAGTCCAAGTTTGGGATAACGTCAGCCATCTTGATGATGTCAGACACCCCAGTCCCTCTCTGGGGTGTCAGCTATTTCAGTGAAGTGGCGTAGGTGTAGTAATTTTCTTACATGAGGGAGGCATGTTCAGTCTCTCCTGGTTCACAAAGCCAGTGCCTGTAGCGAGCAAGAGCCTGTGCAGATTGCTTTGCAGGTTGTAAATTTGCCGAGTGTGCTGATCATTGCACAGATCCTTCTACCTCATGTGTGGTAACTCGCTCCTAGCTCGGTGAGCTTGGTTTGCTGTCCCTGCACCAGTGTACCTATTGTCTTCCTGAATAAATCGCTACCCACAATACCCATGAGTATGTAACACAACTGACATATATAAAACCAGGAAATTTGGTAACTGTAAAGCATGTCTGTGCCTGGAGGAGGTGGTAGCAATGACTCGAGACCCTGTCCTCACTATTGTAAGGGACTATAAGACTCTAACCTAGAGCTCAACTTTCTGTTTTGGATTCAGCTAACACATGTGGCTTTCTTCCCTCTATGGAAAGATGTGGGGAAAACCAATGCGTTTGCTCCCACTCTTCCTTGCAGGTGAAGTGCCTATCACCATCAGCATCGAACCATCGGCTGTCCTTGTTGGAGAGCAAGTGACTCTGTCCTGCCAGCTGACAGACAGTGTCCCTTCTAACACGAGCGTGCTTTGGTACAAAATGGAAAAGGGGAGGGATGCTCCACTGTGCTCTTCCTCCAGCGTCGGTGGGGTGGTGGAGCAGTGCCAGGATGAAGAACAGTGGAGGATTGTAGGACACTGGCAGAGAAGAGCATTTCTTCTGGTTATCCGGCAAGTGCAAGTAGCCGATGAGGGGACATACATTTGTGCTGTGAACAGCAGTGTTGTCACACAGGAGGCTACGACTCACCTTGATGTTACAGGTAAGCAGGGAGATTTTCACAGTGAAATGCGACCCTCTATGACCATGCAGAGTTCAGTTCCCATTGTGACTCTATGGCTCTGCCTATTCCTTACTGGACAGCTGACACCTTGTTGTGCTTTAACCCCAGTAGGCAGCTAAGCATCACACAGCTGCTTGTTCGCTCCCTGCCCCGGTGGGATGGAGGAGAGAATCGGAAGGGTAAAAGTGAGAAAACTCATGGGTTGAGATAAAGACAGTTTAATAGGTAAAGCAAAAGCTGTGCACACAATCAAAGCAAAATGAGGAAGTCATTCACTACTTCCCATCAGCGGGCAGGTGTTTAGCCACCTCCTGGAAAGCAGGACTCCATCACGTTTAACCATGACTTGGAGAAATGGGGAAATAAGCAAAGACGCAGGAAGTAGCTGGAAAGTCTTGCTTCAGTCCTGAATGTCTAAAAGCTGGGCACTGAGGGGGACCCGGCATGTGGTTTATCAGGTAGGAAAATAGTGCAATGGGGAACTGCATTAAGATGCTGAATATCCGCATATAAATCCCTATATAGGTGCTGAATATCCCTATATAAACAGCCTATAGTTGTTTTCTCTTCTGAGATTATGAATGTTCAACCTCTCCAGTTGGGGCTGTTTTGCTTTATAAAATGAAAAGACAACTACTCAGAGCTATTAGGGAGGGTATTCACTGATATGCAGTACACATAATGATATGGTAAAGGCCCCTCCTCATTAGAAATCCCCCGTCTCAGAAGACCTGTCCCAAATGCAAACCTGAAAGCACTTCCCAAAAGCACCTTATCAGATCTGACCTGTTGAACAAGTCACACTCTGGAGCTTAGTTTGAATGCATGGAAACATCTAGTATCCACAAATCTGGCATCAGTCTATTCCACAGATCAACGGCATGTTTGAAGGCCCTTTTCATTTATTTTCTTTTGAACCTACCATGTGCTAGGCTGACTTGTTGCCTCCTGTTTTGGTGTTGGACAAGACAGGGAACAATTCCTTGCTCTTCTTCCTCTCCACACCCTTCCTTTTTTATGGATCTGTATCATATACCCGTCAGTCACATGGAGAGTGTTCATCTATTTGCAAATTCCTAGATGCTCTTCCTGACCTTTGACCATCCGGGCTGACTGGGGTTCACTATATCTCTGTGGTAAGATGCCCTAGTGCTCACCATTGTTGGAGTCCAGGTAAATGGCCCTTTTGATCTGACCAGGTGTGGTTCTTTTTATGAGCTATGAATTTTTAGAGCAACATACTGAAGCTTTCTGGGTTTTGTTGGGTTTTGTTGTTGTTGTTTGTTGTTGTTGTTGTTGTTGTTGTTTTGCAGTAACTCTAACTTTCTTTCATCCTAATTGCCCTAACTCTGTTACAGCAATTGGGGATAAGCCAACTTTGGACAGGGATCTGCAAGAGGAGAGTATGTGTCGCTACACATGTAAGTCAAAACAATGGTACCCAAAGCCTGAAGTCATTTGGATGAACTATGGAGAAGACACAGTAAATGTTGAGGCCAAGACCAATGTAAGCTGGAGCGAGAGAGACCATTTCACAGTGCAAAGCATCATCACAGTGCCTTGTGATAATGTAGATGTGGTGTGTGTAATCAAACTCGTCAAATCCAAGATAAGCCGATCAGGTAGGTCACATTTTTACACCTGCATCTGCTTTGTTAGGGGAATCAGATCCCTCCATTATTGCTAGAAGACCTGAAATTGGACAGGTCTTGGCACCTTCCCTGAAGCCCCAAGCATCCTGCAGAATCTAACCCTTCAGGAGAAATCCTTGCTGTTGGGTGATGGAGGTTTGGGTTGGCCTTGTGGCATCTTCAGGGGATGCCACCATGAAACGATGACCCAGGAAAATGCTGAGAGTGTTCTTCTCACTGCTCTGCCTCTTTGAGCCAAGTTCAGCCATAGCTTAAGGGGCTCATAGCTTTCCCTCAACAGTCCGAACCTCAGTATTGTTATCTCTTTAGCATCACTTCTGTTTTTTATCTTCTCACCTGAAGTGACAGGCTGTATCACTTACAGTTTGGGAAGAGCTTCTTTTACACAGTCCTGTCTGTTTTCATTTATTTCAGCAGTTTCACTCTTACAAACTGAAAGCTCATACAACTCTTTCAAGTGTGGAATTATCAAAAATGAAATGCTCAAAAGCCAGATGGTTTTGATTAGAGATGAAAAAACAACAAAAATGTAGGTGTTCTGTGAGATCTCTTTCGTGGCGTACTTGGTTTTTCTGTGTTGTGCCAGATGTGGTGATGTTAAATTGCCTCTGTTACAGGTTCCATGAATGAAATTATTATGCCACAGTCAAGTACTTGTACATACAAGGGCAAAATAAGAGGTTCCTATGGAAAGCTCAAAGTGATGTGGGTTAATCACCAAGGAGAAGATCTATCTTCACTGGCCCAGACAAGCATTCTACAGGAGATGGACAATATTTTTGCAATAGAAAGCTCCATTGAGATACCCTGTGGACAACCACCACCTTCTTTTGTGACCACTGATAGGGAACACAGTCCGCAGATTTCTCAACAGTCAGGTATGCAGCAATTAAGACTTATATCAGGTACTTTGGCATTCTCTGAGCAAGCAAAGCTACTCTCTTTTCGCTCAGATGCATCATCCTCCACTAATGGGAAGGCTGGGCCTAGTGCTGTGAATTATTTCACTTAGTTTCCCACAACACTCAATAGTTGAATCCATCTGGGATTCACGAAAATTCGCAACTGGTCTGTGCTGACCGAGAAGAGAGGCTAGGACGCAAATTATAGAGTTGCAAGAGTAATTCTTTCATTCATGTGCATGAGGTGTCCCAGCCAAATTGGGAAACCTGAATGTGGTCTTACACATGGTTCTTATACCTTTCAAGCGTTCGGTTACAATATGATTTGACTAATCGCTACTTAATACACACACACTACTGTTTGCAAAGCAATGATAATTCCACGGTGTCATCATCCACCTGCTTCTTTCTTGATCTAGATGTCCCTGGAGTCAGTCTTGCTACAGTTACTTACCTATGACACCAGACAATGGGAGGGCTTCACAGAGCTGTTAGAGGGGCTGGGATGCCGGCGTTATCTCGGTAGTGCAGGGGTAACATTTATCCTTCGTGGACAGCTTTAAGATTCTGAGAAACAAAGGTCCTTATCTCCAGGTGGGGCTGTCCTCCTCCTTCCAATGAGCTGGGCTTCAGTCATGCTTACTTTAGCATGACTGTTCAGTATACAATGTACACACTATATCTAAAGAAAGTTGATAACGATTTCATACTATAAGGACTAACGGGTACAATAGTTAGGGAATGAAATTTTGCCTTAGAGGAGTCTATTGCTCAATACTTTGAGGAAGTCAATGAATCACAGCATCCCACTATCAGGACTGTGGCTGAAATGGAAAGAGCATCTGCTGACCCCAACAAAGCCAGGAAGACAGTGGGCTCCTGAGCTAAGTGCACACTAGCCTGTTCCCCAACGTGAACCTCGATTTTTCAATGCTGGCAGAGAAGTTTTTCTGGCAGATCTTCAGACTGTCAGCTGCTGAGGTTTGTACCAGTAAGGAAAAACTTTGGCATTAGGCTATTAGAGGGTTATTCTGCCTGAAAGGTGGTGTTGAGCAGCAAGGCTAAGCCTGAGCTTTCCTCTGAAATGTCTTCTCAGTGAAAGGTTCGAAGGTCAACTCGTCTTAAAGTATTTTCATGGTATCACTTAGAACAATATTGCTCGCTTCAGAGATAGTGGCCTCTTGAATAAAAATAAAGACCAACTGCAAAGACTAAAAATAATAAAAAACTTACCAAGGAAAAAAAAATCATACTTCCCATTTTATCTCAAATCTGATTTTGAGTGTGTGTATGTGGAAAATTCCTGAACACAAGGCAGTGAATTTAAAATGCAACTATCTGTGTCTCTTTTCAGCTTTCTTTTAGACTTCTTGTGTTCCTTGTCATATTTCCAGAAGAATGATTTTTGGCTGAAAGTGTTCTTCTGCCAACCATGTCCAAATAGTGCAGATTCTGTGACCCCGTGGCCACTCTGTGTATGTGTGTGCTATACTGCAAGAAAATTGATGCACTTCTTTTGTTGCTTTTTCTCCATTTTTCAGAAAAGAGTAACTTGTCCTGGATCATCTATTTCCTTCTACTCATCATTTTGCCAGGTAAGCTATTTCCCCATTACCCAGTCCTTCTTGACAGTGAAGAACCATCCCCAGGGCCAGTTGTGAGCTGGCTTTTGACTCTTCCTTTTTGTAGGGGGTGTCCCAAGAGCTACTGTGTAGTTACTATTTATGGTCTCTTGTCTTCCAGCATACCTTCAGAGGCAGATTGGTAAGTGTGGATGTTCAGGTTTTAGTGTCTTTGCGTGCCCATGGTGCAAGCTCATTAGTGGAGATTTGACGGTGCCAGGGTGGTCCTATTCCTCGGTCCTTGGCTCTTCTCCTAGGCCAGCGTGCATTCAGGAGGGCTGAAAGGGCCTCTAGTGGCAGCCACGGCCCTTGCAACGAGTGAGATTTGGGTTGCCATGGCAGGTGGCTGGTGGTGGCCAGGCTGGTGGAGGCTTTGCTGTAGGCAGGAGCATGAGGGAAGGAGATGTTGAGGGAAGACCACAGTGTGGCTGATGGGGTGGAAAGCCTAGGTCCCTGCGCAGCGCTGGGTTCTGGTAGGGAAGTGGGTGTTTGTGGTTGGTGGCAACAATCCCAGTCAGAGCCACGTGATGAATAGCTCCAAGGAACGTGCACCATCCACCACACCAGAGGAGTTTTTCATCCCTCCCTGGGGTGCGGTGGAGAGTTCCAGAGTGGCCCGGCTTGCAAGGACCTTGTGGGTCTTGCCCTGACTTGATGTCTTCTTCTCCTGTGACCACGGTGACTCGGCAGAGGAACTGCGTGCAAGGAATGGTGAGTCTTTCTGCTTGCTCACGTGCCTTTCCTGCTGGGACAGAGGCCTTGGGGCGGGTGAGGAGGGATGCTCCAGCAATGCCAACTGCCCCCTGAGTGCCACGTCAAGAGACCCTGCAGTGCCCAAGGCTCGACATGGCAGTTGGTGCTCCCTGGCTTGGGCTTTGCCAAGGCAGCGCCCCATGGCCAGTTGTGGACTTGGTTTTGACGCTTCCTTTTTGTGGGGGAGTTTGTCCAATAGCTGCTGTGGAGTTATTATTTACGGCGTCTTTGCCATTCAGCACCCTTTCAGAGGCAAAATGGTAGGTGTGGGGGTTTGGGGATTAGTGTCCTTGCCTGCCCATGGGGCGAGCTCATTAGTGAAGAGCTGACTGTGCCAGGGTGGTCCTATTCCCGGGGTCCCTGGCTGATCTCCTAGCCTAGCGTGCATTTGGCAGGGCTGGTGGGATGTTCTCGTGACTGGGGGGCCCTGTTGCTGACTGGGCTCCGTTGTGAAGGCTCTGTGTTCTTTGCTATTCAGTCAAGGGGAGAAGTGGTGGCCCAAGAGAGAGAATTCATCCCTGCGGAAAGGGAATACCGTCCCCTGGCAAGTAGGAAACTGTGTCACAAATGAATGGTTTAGAGGTCACTTTCAAAATACCGTCCCCTGGCAAGTAGGAAACTGTCAGGATTAATTCCCTGTGTGTCAGGATTAATTCCCAGAAAGAAGGCACAGGGAGCTTATGATGGGGGAACTCCAGCTTCTGGTTTGCTGGTCGAGGGGGAGGTGTCGTGTCCCTCAGCACCTGACATGCCAATGAGGGCATGTGGTTGTGATGCTACTGAAGATGGCAGCCATGCAGGCTGTGTGTGGCAGGCAGGGGCATTGACGTGAGGTATGGGGAGCAGGAGTGAGGGCAGTGGTTCTCAACCTAGCACAGGGGCTGGATGCAGCTGTGCCCAGAGCCAAGGGAGAATTATCTCTATCCCAGCCAAAACGAGGCTATCGTGTTCGAAATGAGTTGGAATGATTTATACAGAGGCCGAGGATGAAAGAGTTAAGTGTGCCACAAGGTTTAGAGAAGACCCGGCTGAATCCACCCCTAGACCCAGACTTGGTCAACAGTTTATGTCTAAAGGATTATATGTATTTAGCAGTAGTCTAAGGTTCATTCCCAATCTTAAGATAGATCATAAGATTTTAGCAGACTGTATTTGCTAGGGGGTACCTCCATCAATTCACACACACACACACACAGACAGAGACACAAAAAATAGATAAATATACAAAGGTATACCTGTTAAAAATTCCCCTCTAGTTCAGTGAAATATCAAATGTCTTGGCATTTCTCAACGGGCGAAGGGTTGAGCCTCGAGGAGTGTTTTGGCCAAGAAGTGTTGCAGCCCAGGTCCCGTGCCAGTCAGCGATGATCGTCAGAATATCGCAAACTTGAGAGTTCGCGAACTCTGAGAAGCATTCCACCCAGAGGGAGATGCTGGGCGCAGCCCACTGCGGTCCAGGAGAGCTCAAAGGGCTGCACTTGGGACCACTGTTTATAGGGTCACAAGATGATTGACTTTAGTCATCCGTCAAAACTCTCAAGGTTTCAGTAACAATGGTACTGTTCCACTTGAGCTACGACTCAGAGAAAGGTACCAGGGGATGACAATTATCCCCACTCTCATCCTCCACTTGGGCCAGGCAGTGGAAGTTTCTGGTATGATCAGTACATTCCCCAACCTCTGCTATGCAAGAGTTCCTGATACGGTAAAGGGACGCTTCACTGCCTGATTCATTACACCAAGGCCAAGGTTTAATGGGAGTTTCTGAGATCGTGGAGTGGCCCAGGAGGGGGAGTGGGGAATGCACCGCCACAGTCTGCCAGGCTTAATTCCCTGCGTGAGCCAAAAAGAAAGGGCCAAAAGGGAGGTTGTGGTGGGGGAACTCCAGTTTCTGGCTTGCTGGGTGCTGGCCAAGGGGAGGTGCCACGTCCCTCGACACCTGACATGCCAACAAGGGCATGTGGCAGTGATGCCGGTGGAGAAAGCAGCCATGCAGGCTGTGTGTGCCAGGCAGGGGCATTGACATGAGGCATGGGGAGCGGGAGCGAGGGCAGTGGGTCTCAACGACTGCGGGTGCCTGATGCAGCTGTGCCCAGAGCCAAGGGAGCCCTTGTCCCCACTGCTGGCAGCTCCTGCCTGGGTAGCCCTGATTGCTCCCCCTTCTCCACACCTCTCATTTGCAGAGGAGCTCCAGCCACGAGGTGGGGCAGGAAGGGGTGCTGAGAAGGGGAACTGTGTGCAGTGCTCTGACACCATGGCTTTGTGCTTGGGGGAGCCCTGGCTGGGGACGGGTGCTGGTGGGGGATGAGTCTGCCTTGCCAAATGAGACCCAGGCTTTTCCCCCTGTCTGCCTTGGAGTCGTCGGGGTGCTAAGCAAGGTATTCTCCCTTCCCCCTTTCTTATTGCAGAGAACCAGCAGAAGGAGATTGGTGAGTGTCGCTGTCTCCCTGGGGGCCCTGTGTGCAAGCTGATCGTGGGATGCAGTGGAGGGCAAGTCACCCCTCACCCCACAAGAGCGTGAGCCATCCACCGTGCCAGAGGAGTTTTTCATCCCTCCCTGGGGAGAACAATGCCAGAATGGACTGGCTTTTGGAGGCAGATTAGTAAGTGTGGATGTTCAGGGTTAGAGTCCTTGCCTGCCCCTGGTGTGAGCTCAGTAATGGAGAGTTGACTTTGCCAAGGTTGTCCTATTCCTGGGGTCCTTGGCTGTTCTCCTCACCCGGCATGCATTCGGAAGGGCTGGTGGGATGTTCTTGTGACTGGGGTGCTCCCGTGTTCCTTTGAGTCAGGGTGCTAAGCAAGGTGTTCCCCCTCTCTTGCAGAGAACCAGAAGAAGGAGATTGGTGAGTGTCACTGTCTCCCTGGAGGCTGTGCATGCCAGCTAATTGTGAGGTTTAGGGGTCTTCATAGGGTGTTGCTTGTGGTGTTCTGGCTGGTGGAGGCTTTGGTGTTGGTAGGAGAATGAGGGAAGGGTATGTTGAGGGAAGGCCGTGATGGGGCTCATGGGCTGGAGAGACTCGGCCACCAACCCTGGGGCCTGGTGGGAAAGTGGGTGATGATGGGGTATTGAAGAGCTTCCTGCCAGGGTCAGAAGCACATGAGATGCAGCTCCAAGGAACATGACTCATCCACCATACCAGTTTTTTTTGTCACCTCCTTGGGCAGAATTCCCAGAGTGGACTGGTTTGTAGGTTGTTCTTGCCCTGACTTGGTGTCTTCTTCTCTTGCTGCCCTCCGTGACTTGGCAGAGAAACTGCATGCAAAGGATGGTGAGTCTTTCTGGTTGCCTACATGCTTTCATGTTGATTGTCATTGAAAGTTGTAAATACTTTGCTGTCCAAGTTCCATGGAAATATGTCACCTGAATCATCAGGAAGCTGTTTCCATAATGAAGCCAAACCTAATCCATGGGAATAACTCACAGTAGCTCAAATGGTCCTTGTCATAAATGCTGTATTCTTCCCATGTCCTCTAGTCACCTCCAGCTTTAATGACCTGGCTATACTTTTCTGTCTGTTGCCCTCTGATGTGCAAAAGATTACCTTATATCACTTGTGCCTTTCAGCCTTTCTAGCTGGAAAAGGTCCTCCTTGTATGCATGGGAAGAACAAGAGCCCATTTAAGAATGACTGTGAATGTCATGTAGATCTGAGTGCATGGAAACCTATGGTGACTTCAGATAGTGGGTTAAAATACAGCATTTCAGGATGCAGCTGAACTTTGGTATTAATAGAGTTATCTGTATCCAGAGTCATCCTGTAGTGCTACCAAGTACTGATGTCTAACCCATAGCAATATTTTCTTTTTCTGCATTTATCTTGTTTGCAGTGGACCAGAGGAAAGAAATCGGTAAGGTCATTATTGTCTCTTAAGTCCCTTAAACCTAGTGAAAGGGAAAGTCTGAAGAGAGGAAGGGTTGGTTCTTGTTTTACAGGACAATGAATTTAGAGATTGTAACTTGGACTAGGGCTTCAAAGCCTTTCCTGCGTGCAGTTTCAGGTGCACATCTCACACCTGTCTGTTCACATAGAATCATAGAATCATTAAGGTTGGAAAACACCTCTAAGATCATCAAGTCCAACCGTTAACCCAACACCACCATGCCCACTAAACCATGTCCCTAAGCGCCTCATCTACACGTGCTCAGACATTCATCGAAAACTTGACATTTTTCACATACAGATGCCTACCTTTGAGCTAATCCCTTAAGCTCACATCTCAGGACTTCATGATCCTGTCCTACTGGGTCATCTTTTCATCTCTCACACATAAAAGCACAAGGTCAGCTGATTCTGCCCTGGCAAATATTTAATATTGACTCGTCTGATTTGACTTCTCAGCAGCTTGGTTTGTATAGTAGTATCTCTGCCTGCCACATCTTCTCCACTATCCTTCCTGCCCAGCCACTATTGCACAAAGCTGTCATGGTTGCATGGAACCAGAAACTCACCGGAAAGTGCACTCCCTCCTCCCTTCAGAGAATTAGTGAAAATTCACCCAACCTATTCCTTTATATCCATACCTGCCTGAGAAATTCACGAAATGTGGCTGAAATTTATTTCCCTGAGTGTCACAAAAGGGACCGTCTCTTTCCGTGTCCCCGGAAATGCTGGGGTGCTTACCAGGAATCTCACATGGTTTGAAATGTGGAGTGTGGCTGGTGGGGCATCCATGTAAAACACTGGCAAGGCAGCAAATTGGGACCTGAGAGAGAAAGTAGTTCCCACGCAGGAAACTCAGTCCAGCTTCAGATCCTTCTTCAGACCTCACAAATAATCACAGAGCTTGAGAGAGCAAGAGGGAATTTGAGTATCAGTTGACCTGCATAGTTTAACCTTAGACTCAGTCTGAGATTCCCCAATTTGGAGTTGGAAAATTTTTTCAGTCAATGTTTGTAGTTTGGTTTTTCTTACCTTTTTTTTTTTCCCCTTTTTTTCTTTTTTCCCCCTTATTTGCTTTCAGAATGGAGAAGGGCTCATGGCAACACAGGTAAAATAATGTATTTACTTATGCCTGTACTCAATGGCTTGAAATCTGTGAATACTACAGAAGTGGTGCTGAGCATGGACTGGATTGTGAGTCTACAAATACTTTTTATTCCAGTGATATGGCGATATTTCACTTGGCAGTGAAATATTTGGAAGTCAAAGCGTAATTTATATGTCTGAGTGCAGTCCTTCTTCACTCCAGGCTTAGAGGTCTTTCTAGACTAGTTGTAGGGAGATTTTCAGAATGAAATGCAGTACAGTACAGTCCTTCTCTTCTTGCATATTTGCTTTAGAGGAGTGTTTATAAAGCCCTTAATATCTATTTGTTGTAGATGACATCAAGGTTGATGGGGACACAGCCCATCCAAACTTGTCTATTGCTGTGGACAAGAAGAGTTTTACGTATAAATCACAGGCCCAGAAAGTGACTCAAAATGAAGGGAGTTTTGATTCATCTGTCTGTGTGCTGGGCTCAGAAGGTTTCTCCTCTGGGAAGCATTACTGGGAGGTGGACGTTGAAAAAAGTGATGACTGGGACCTGGGAGTAGCCAGAAAATCCGCTCCAAGGAAAGGAATAATATCTCTGTCACCTAAAGAAGGATTCTGGGCTCTGGGCTTAAGTTTTAACGATTACTGGGCAAGAACTGATCCATGGACACGGTTAGCGGTGCAGAAAAATCCCATGAAAGTCGGAGTGTACCTTAATTGTGAAGAGAAAATTTTGACTTTTTTCAATGTTACTGACATGTCTGTGATGTTCACATTTAAAGACTGTGCATTCTCAGAAGAAGTTTATCCATTCTTTAAAAATTCACACAAAGAATCAACCATGAGAATTTGCTTATTTAAAGAGGAATAAGTTTTTTTTCATATGGTAATTTTGTTGTGACATGAAAGATCATATTATTTTCTTAGACAAATTTAATTCTTAATTGCAATTTATGTATTACACATCCTCGATCACATTCTGTATTATGCATATTTTAATACCTTAGCTTAAAATATTTTCCTTTTCCCCAGCCTTTTCTGTATGCATTTTGTCCAATGCTTGCAGCATGCATGCAGAAGTGAGCTGTCCCATGCCATGATTTGATAAATGATACGATTATCTCAAGAACAATTTCTGTAAAGTCTTTTTTCTGAAAATAATTTCAGTCCTTACAATGCATTTCAGTGATCATCATTCTCTGGTGTTTTGTTCTGGACTGCTGCACTGTGTACTTTGTACTTACGTACAACACCCAACTTCACATCATGCGTTCAAATACACACACCCCAACAAATGCACAGCACCCCGTAAAGGATGGAATTCTCAGAATTTTGGAGGAAAAGGAAAAAAAAAGTTTTAAAACAGAGTAATTTAAAACACAGTAATGTGTCTACGCTTCACTTCTTGGCTCTAGAACATGCCATCTGTGCTTGAAGAAGAGTCTGAGAGCAACATAAATCGACTTAATACAGTGCTACATCTCTCTGTCAGGCTTTGAACCCTTCTGGTAGAGTAATATGCTCTTCTAGTGCATAAATAGCCATGACAGAGCCGTCTGCTCGTCAGGATCTTCTGAATCCTAACCTTTTGCCAGGTAAAATGCTATTTAGTTGCCTGAACATAGACACCCGTTTCTCTTTGAGATTCTTTAGGGTATCCAACACATGGGGCTGGTCACACAGCACCAGGCTTGTGGGAGACGTGCACCTTTCTGAAGCTGGAGACCTTCTGAGACAAAAATGACAGCGGACGCTGAAGGATCCTTGTTTCCAGGCTGTCATGGTTATTTTCTGTGAACAGTCCTTTTTTTCCATGGAATTTAAGCTTACCAGCTTTTGTCTGTGCATCATGGGGGTGGAAGATAATTTATTCCTTCGTTTTTGCATCGGTGACCTCAGGGTTATAGCTACATTCATACAGAGGGTGTAGACCTCAGTGGAGCCTGATTCAATAACCACCTTGTCTTTTAATGAGCGTCACTAGTAAATTTTGAGTCAATTTTTAACCAGGATTGGAATTGCATTAATATTACATCTCCACTGTCTCTTTACACAAATGTCTCATGATACAAGTCTACAGTCTTTTCATCACGTGAGATTCAGTCTGAGACAAAGATCTAAATGTAGGTGTCCACATATGAACTAGGTATCTATGTTTAATTATAGTTAATGGAGTTCAAAGTTGCAATTAAGTTGCCTAAACATAGATGTCTAGTGCCAGTTCAGACCTGTCAATATATCTGAGACTGGCAGAGGTGACACAAGACTCATGGAAGACCCATGTCCTTTTGGGTCCCTCTGGCATTGTTCCCTGCAAATCTGTTTTTAGCTGAAGTAAGTCTGTAGTTTTGTTCCTCCTGAGCAGAACCGAGCTTTGACACACAAAATACCCATTGGACATAAAATCCAGATGACCAATATGGAGACTGTTGTCTAAGGAACACAGAACATGCTAATGCCCTTGAACCAACAGACAAATCACTCGAAACCCATGGCAGAACTGAGGAAAAGCAACCTGATAGCCCAGCTAGGCTGAGTCTTCACTCATCTCTCTAGTTATGAGAATGCCTCCAACTTCTCATTCTTTATCATAAACTCCATAACATTGTTAGGGATGGGAGTCAGACACAGCTGTAGTTTCCAAGATCCTTTCTAGAATCCTGTTTACAAATAAGATTTACAACGGCAGCCTGCCGCTTCTCCAGTGATGTAGTCGTCTGTAGTGACAGGTTACACTGCTCTTCTTCCCATGACAATGTATCTTAATCCACCTCAGAAACAGCAAATACAGTGGGCCAGATTCTGCTAAAACCAAAGCTACCTGATTCATGGAGCCACAGAGTAAATTAGCTTAGAAGAGGTCTCTGGAGCACTCTGCTCCAGTCCCCCACACAAACACAGACTAGATTGCTCTGGGGCTGTACTGAATTAGCAGCAAATCTGAGTCCTCTGAACTGCCCTTCTAGTAAGCCCCCATGAAGTATTCCGTGATTTTGTAGATGGTGGTGTACATCTGGCTGGCCTGCAGCTGCCACGCCAGAAGGGGAGAGGTCTCCATTGGTCCTGTATCGTATGTCAGGCCTGAATAGGCATTTCCAGCTCTCTAGGACATCTGAAATGCCTGTAGGTTAGGAAGCTAAATTCTGCTCATGCTCAACACAGTCAACTGAGAGTAGGGAGTGATTCCTGACTGACTTTATCTGCCTAAAGTGAGGCATCAAATTCTTGTGTTTGAGATCACATACGGTGCCTTATCTCATCCCGAAGAGGGACACAGCAGCCTGAGATAACAGACGGAGATAGCAGCCTCATCATAGCCTGATAAAACCAATCTTCCTCAGCTCCTTAATGTTATATGTTCCTGAAGTCTACACATAGATGTGTCCAGGGGTCATTCAGAACAAGCGAATAGCCTAACACTATCAATTGTGCCTTGGAAAGGCTTCTCTCTCTTCAGAAGCATATTTAAAAAACATTCTGTCCCTCCCTGCTACATCCAGATGTTTCAAAGAAAAATATTAATGAGATAGCTGAGTGTCATGGTTTAACCCCAGTAGGTAGTTCAGCACTGCACAGCCGCTTGCTCACTCCTCCAGGGTGGGATGGGAGAGAGAATCGGGAGGGTAAAAGTGAGAAAACTCATGGGTTGAGATAAAGATAGTTTAATAGGTAAAGCAAAAGCCACACACACAAGCAAAGCAAAATAAGGAATTTATTCTCTACTTCCCATCAGCAGACAGGTGTTCAGCCATCTCCAGGAAAGCAGGGCTCCATCAAGTGTAACGGTTACTTGGGAAGACAAACGCCATAATTCCCAACGTCCCCCCCTTCCTTACTCTTCCCCAGATTTATATGCTGAGCATGATGTCATACGTTGTGGGATATCCCTTTAGTCAGTTGGGGTCAGTTGTCCCAGCTGTGTCCCCTCCGAGCTTCTTGTGCACCCCCAGTTGTGTAAGCACTGCTCAGCAATAACTAAGACATCCCTGCATTATCAACCCTGTTTTCATCACAAATCCAAACTCTATCCCAGCCAAAACAAGGACAAAGTGAACAGAGACACTGGAAATGGAGAAGACACAAATTATACCTGTGCACAAGAGCTATGTAGCCCTGTTAACGTGGGTTCCCATGACTTCGCAGACCACTTCAGCTCTGTCCATTGTCCCAATAACATGTAAGCAAAATAATGAATGACTTAAAGCAGTCACCACCCACAAAGTTAATCTAAACAGACCTTTCAGTGAACTCTCATGTTGACTGTGCTCAGATACTGTTTAGTGTTGATATGGATACATTTTACTCAGCTCAGGGTATAAACAAGTGAGCTTGTGCAGAGAATTTCTAGTTTGATTGACACTGCAGGCATCCCTAAAGAAAACCTTTTCTCCTCTTCCTCAACACTCTTCTTCTCTTGGTGGGTATTTACTTCTGGTCTTGGCTGTTCTCTACTTTTCAGAGGTTTTTTTACTGTTCAATGGTCCTTTCCTGTAACCATAAGGAAGGTGGCAATGACCCTCAAAACTGATTCAGTTACATATCCTAACTTGAGGGTGCTTCTTTTGTGCATTCGAATCTAGGAAAGCTGAGGATATCTCGTCTTAGAACATAGAACACAGGACATACAGAACATAGAATGGTTTGAGTTGGAAGGGACCTTGAAGACCGCCTGTTTCCAACCCCACCTGTCACGGGCAGGGATAAAGTGATATCTGCTTGGAAAAGAAAAACAGGATGTACCAAATTGAAATCAACACTTAAAACAGCAAGTTGTTGATCTTAACCGAGTTGCCTCTGAAGGTATTAAACTATAGCAAATAACTTGGTATTTCAAAGAAGGTAATAATAACATCCATGGGAAACAAACAGGAATGTTAACTGTTAGCTCTGTGGCTAGCTAGAGGTCAGGCAGAAGCAAGCAACAGCCTTTACATCTTCTATTTTCTGCAGATGAGGAACATGAAAGTTTATTTGAAATGGAAGAACTAAGCAATGAGAACTAAAAAAGACAATTTCATATCACATCCAGTTCAAAGGCTTCCTCATGTCGTCTTTTCCCAGAAGACACCAGACAGATATAAATTCCAGCATCAGAGACTTGGATGTTTTTTAGCAGTAAAGAAAAGACCCCTCTGCTTGGTACCCATTGAAGAAGATCTTTTTGACCCCAGTACCTTTTGTTTTGAATCTTTTTCCCAGTGCTTCTATTGTAGGAGATGATTCGTATCAGTTCTGAGGGTCTGGAAAAAACCCATTCAGTAGAAATATTTGCCAGAATGCCAGGGGCTGGCAGCCTGCAGTCCAAGAGCACATCATTTCCAACAGCTCCAACAACATACGTGGAAGTGAGAACGCTTGGAATAGCAACTGCACACAAAATATAAAATGAGACCTGTCAAGCCACAGTGATCCTGAGGAATACATGAAGCTGTACAGGGAGCGAATTTATTTCATGCTTAGAAAAGTCTCAGGTTCTGAGAGTACAAACACATTACCATAAGAGAAGTGGCAATGTCACCTTGCAGGGCTTTGGTTATTGTCAGGACTTGGATTCTAGTCAAAGAGACCTCAGTTGTCTCCCTTGCCAATCCAATATGTGGGTTTGAATCTTGGCCAATACCATGTAGTTACATTCCTCTTTGGAAAGTATATAAATCTTCAGGTAACAAAGTTGTTTAACTAAATTTGCACTTCCTGACAGCTGGTTCATGGAAACTGCCTATGGGCATGCTCTTACTACAAGACTGGTGTAGTATATGTAGTTAAGTACCCTGGCCTTCCTACTCCTCCATGTTGGTATCCTCATCCTATTTGCAGCTATCATTCTTAACCAGTGTGTAACCAAGGGCAATGTAGCTCTGAATGAGCAGA